GCAAGGTGGCAAGGCTTAGGCGCCATCTTTGCCTTTCAGTTTTGGATTTTTAAACTTTTGCGAATTGCTATTATATGCTAAGGCAGCCAATTCGAAAATAGTTTCCAGTAATAAGTAAAAGTTTATATAAAAGCTATCGTTATATATCGTTAATAGTTGACTTGGTATATTGAAATATAAAGTGAGTCTCGCATATTGAGACAGGAGAATATAACAAAATAATTTTGTCTTCCGTCAGCGGGCAGGGTTAAAAAGGCTTAATAAGAATAAGATTATATTTAATAATAATTTTATTATTAGGCAACATTGCCATTTAAATCTGTAATATTGCATTCTAAGCATGCATGAGACTATGATTGTTTCACAAATCAACCTTTTTTCATATATTTATCGATTACTACATCCGTGCTCGCCCTTTAAATCCAGCTCCAATAATAGTATGGGTATCAAGCCTTTCACGTGCTAATAAAATGGTACGCAATCTGTCTTCGATGTTGGACGAACTTTCCATTAATTTCATAACTCAGTGTACCGGACAAATGTTTGTTTTCGATCACGTTTCAACAACGCCATCCAAATTGTCTACAACGCTTATTTTTGACCCAAATTCATGTCAGAACACAATGGACTTACCATTGACAGACATACTAGGGCTATTAACTCTCAAAAGAGTTAAATAGTATACCCTACATCCGGAAGACAATCGCTGAAGGTCTGCCATTCTTTTGAGACTTCAAAAAGGGAATCGCTATGCGGACTGTGAGGTATAAGGTAATTAGTGAATAATTTTATATCCTAAATAGGATGTTTATATTTGAGAGACGATTGCAAAGATATTTCTTTTAAGGTTTGTATTATGATTATTATTATTGGAAGATATTACACATTTATGCGAACCAATAAAACCGTATGCTAGTTTATGTTTACGACACAAATCTGTGAAATGTTGGATATGACGTGTGACTAGTAGCGATGGGACGAGTTGTATTTTTTTCAACTCAAGTAACTCGAGTGAGAGCGGATAGCCGAATGTTGTTTGAATGAAGTACTTGAGTCGGCGGGAACTGCACCGAGCTAGCTCACAAAAAGTAGTTCGAGTTGACTCGTTCTGGGAGTTGCCCATCCCTCGCGACTCGAGCGTGCTCCGAAGGTCACCGAACGAGTAGCCGTTGCGCATTGCTCTGTATGAATGAGGAATACGGCTAGGCGGGGCGGGTGCCGAACCGAGTTAGCTCGAGTTCATAAAAAAGTAACTCGAGTTGACTCGTTGTGGGAATGACTCGAGTTAACCAAGTTAAATAACTCGACTCGCCCTTCGCTAGTAACTAGTACCCAATCACACTCTTACACAGGCTACATGAGCGTAAAGTCAACATTCACAAATTCTTATAAAGAAATATCATCTGTCCAAGTTTCCATGAGGGTAATAGTGGGAATCACCTGTTTTAAAAACACCTCTAGTGCCAAGTTGTGTTGCAAGAGTTTTGATTGACAGCATTCTCAATACTCAACTGTTGAAACGCAAGATGAAACTGGATACAAGAATTTACATATGTAGCATGCCGATACACTCAAAAATTTATTACATGCTTGCGCAGATGTTATGTTGTTGGCAATCTCGATAGTCGATCAGCTACGTAGTTGTATCGACGGGGAATGTTGAAAACTTATAGGTGGATTTTGATTTCTGTTACATTTGGAGTCTATCTTGAATAAGTACCCCTATAGAGTGCCTAAAGCCGAAATGTTCGTTGGGGAAGAGACTGCGGGACAAGACGTGTCTTTGAGACGGGCGTAGAAAATGCGCTCATAGAGTATCCCCAGTTATTAAGCAGGGAGATGGGGCAGTAGTTGGAGGGGTCAGGGGTGGGTTTCCCGAGCTGAAAGATGCAGTTTGTTAGAGCGACAGGTGAGGAGCGAGGGGACAGATGAGGGGTGCAGAGACTTATTTGAGTACCTTGTTGGAGATACCGTCGGGGACACAACGGTGCACGGGTTGCCCATTTTGAGCTGCTTTACCCAAACCTGCCCTGACGAATCTATTGAAAGAAAGAAGTTGGACGGAGAAAAGTATATTTGGGAATGTTGTAAAATTCTTGTTCCACCATAGGCAGATCTTGTCGCTTACAAACGCGGAAGTTTTAGCAAATACGAGACTTTAAATGCTCTCAGGGTATAACAAAACAGGTGAAATTTCACGGACCTATTAGACTCTGCACTTGCTCAAGGGAGGCCTTTGCTCCTTGACTACGGCCTTTCATTAAGAGATTAAAAAACCTCTATTATTCCTAGACTTCCAAAGACTTTAGGAGCATTTAGCAAGGAAAAAGGTACGTACGTTATTTGATTCAATTGGCGTGCAAAAGCGAAACGTAAGAAAGGACGACTGGCATCGACTAGGTATAGTACGCGTTGGAAGGGTCCTCTTTTGTGTCCAGTTCCGGAGGTAGTTAGGGTATTCTATACACGTTGATTAAATGAAATGTTTTATTTAAAAATTAAATAGCATGTATAAAAGATACTTGTGTATGTAATTTATCTATAATTTTGAAATTTCCGTACAATGCTGTATTTTATTTGTATTAATATAATCATTATATAATAATTATTATTATAGGCGCTTTTTATCTATGACATCTGATGTTATTTAGAATTTCTTTCAAATAAATCAACTTGTAAGCTAAATTTTTAGGCGATTGTTAGTGGGACATACGCAAATTTTACCAGCGCGCGTTTCTCTGAAAAGGATATTTATTCAGCACGCTTGCATTTTAAGGATATAATGAAGGACATATAATTCCTTTCAAATACTTACCTGATGTTTGAGCTGACCTGCTGTGAATGTTGTTGCTAGTGAACAATCATCCCACGAAGCAGTAAATGCCTCGCACTCCCTCTGAGTCTCTCGAAAGTAATTGTTGAAAGTTTGAAACTAAGCGGCCTGCGCTTGCGTTTTACTAAACAGAAATATGTTGCCTACATTTCTCTGTTCAGAGATGAAATTTAAAAGATTTCGCCAAAAAAAGATGGGTTGTGAATCCACCCCTGCGTAAATATACGTTTCGTAAAAACCGTGTGCTGATGCCAGCACACGTTTTTTACGTTTTTTGGAATCTATCAGCCCAAAGTTTGCATGCATATCATTTATATCAATCAAAGTGAGCTTTGAGATATGTACCATCATTACGAAATATTTATTTGATCTTATTATAAAATATTATCTACATCTAATGCTACTAATATATCCCATTTAGTAACAAATTTAAACATTCCTCCAGCGACTAGTTCGTTGCTATCACGCTGTTTGAAACGGCAGCGAAACAGTTTATAGGTAGTTATAAATTAGTCATGATCGTTGTCTCAGCAAGGTGATCTTCATTTAGATAATAAGTAGGAGAATTCGATAATACTTCGTCGTTCATATTTGTGGGCAAATTAGAAAGTTAATTTTTTACTTCATAGATAATTTTCTCAAATAATTGGTTCTGAGTACGTCTATTATAATATGAAGAGCAACCCGGTCACCGGGTATTACTGGTACTTTCCAAGCCGTTGTATGGGAACACTACAACGCCGCAAAGAATCGAAAAGTCTTATATACCTACAAGGAATTATATTACTATATTAAACGAATAAAAAAAATGTTAATTAAAATGTAATTATTAATATAAACATCGATCTTTGTAATAATAATTATTACAAACTAGTGGAGTAATTTCACAAAAATAATTGAATATCATGGTGGTCAAACATCGTGACATTCATAAACTTAAAAATTAAAATGTAATTGTTATAATGTTGGCGGAAAAAGTTGTATACATTACGTTACGATTCAGAATGTTATGATTTAAGTAGTGGTGTAAATATTATATATAATTATGTAAATTATACTTATATTATTACTATATATATATATATATATATATAATTACTATATTGGTAACGCTATTCCATAAAACATGATACATTTAAAAAACGTATAAAAAAATCTGTTGATAGAAAACCAGTGTATGCTCTGATACCGGATGTTCCTATCTCTTGCCTTCTAACTTATTTATATTTGTGTGTATTTACTTGTAGCTTTTATAAAATAATGTGTACATGTATCGCACGTGTATCGTAAATGTGTAGTGTAGCATAAAACAGAGAATACACACAGTATATACCATTTCCGCAAGACTCAGCCGACGCTGAAAAGGAACGACTGAAATCAGCGTCTGTCTCCCACGAGATGAACATATTGCTGAGTTGTATCCTTTTCTTCTTTTGCGCCACTATACGCACTTACTAATAGTCACACTGGGTGATTTGCATTTGTTATTTGCTAAGTGTAGATTTAATTGTGCATAGTGACTCAATTTAATGAATAATTAATTTTTCAGTTCAATTTAATGAAAAACTTTTAATAGTTATTAATACAAAGATCGAACACTCAGAAAAAACACTCAGAAAAAATTCCTTCGATCCGGTCGGATTCGAACAGACGTCTTCTTGCATACCGTGTCAGACGCTATACCAACTAAGCCACGGAACGAACCAACGGACCTCACGAATTCTTCTATGTGCTTGAGTCGTGTCTTTGTACTTGGTCTTTCAACGACTTTTTAGTCGTAGCGCCATCTATGAGAAATCTTTATATTAATAATTATAACAAACTAGTGGAGTAATTTCACAAAAAATAATTGAATATCAATTCAATAAAAAATTTAATTAACTTTTAATAGGTTTATGCGACACAGCTTTATGTATTTACTTATTATAAGCTATGTATGTCATAAATAATAAAAAAATAAACGTTTTTCTTTCTTTCTAATACTTTTCATCCAGAATAAAGATACAATATGAGGGCACGTTCACGAAAAAGAACACAAATGGCGTCGGCCTTAGGCGCTGCATGTATCCGAGCCTTTTGAGGATATTGCTACGCTTGCACTGGGGTGAGAAAATTTCACTGAAAAAGCAATCAATAACTCTATCATTTATAGACTTAGAATAAGGTATCACAGCTCAATAATATTATCTACAATCCCTTTTGTTCTAATTACAGTCTCATGTTTCGTTTCAACAGATAGTTTCCTCCTTTTATTATCTTTAGGAACCTCTATTAAGTCCAAAGAATAGCTATGTCTCATCCTAGATCTTTTTTCATCTGTACCAATTAACACATCTGTCGAATGTTCTTCGTATGCTTGGTTACCGTAGATGTTCAAAATATCGTCGTTGTCAATTTCGTTGTCATTTCGTTGCATGTCTTTCATAAAGTGAGTACATTCCGAATCGACCATAGTCAGTATAGGACACTGTTCGCTTGGTAATTTTGAATTCGAATATTTCTTGTTAGAGTCATTGCTACTATCTTCGTCAAAAATGGTTTCACCCGATCTTTCAGCGTCAGATCCAATTTTATTCTCTACTATTGTGCACAATTCCATATTTTTCATAGGTCGTTGGACTTCATTGTGTATTTCAGATGTTTCATCGCAAATAGAAATTTTCTTATCCCGTCTTTTGGCGTTGCTGGCGCTATCAGGGTTGTACTTGGAAAGGTCGTTGACGCTGGTCATTTTGTGTGCTGGCGAAGTAACCGTGACGTTGTACCGTCGATCAGTTTGTGAGTTCCTTCCCCTCGAGTGTATTCCGAAAATACGTTTTATTGATTGTCGAAACTGAAACAATAAGTTGCACAGGTGTTTGGAATAAGGTATCACATCACATTCTCGGCAAAACTACTCGAAAGTAGACGTATTCGAGAGAATAGAGAAAGTATTCGTCTATGCTCGTGTTGTCCCCATATTTTGTCGGTAAATGTCAAAAGATCAAAGGATTCTTAGTCTCCACCTTGTAATGCGTCTATGTACAACTGTTCCATGCGAGAATGTAGAGGCTCGTTTCCGTCAAATAGCAAATATTCTTGCCGAGACATCTCGACTAGAATGTAGAGCCGGAAATTTATCCAAACCGCACTGGTTTTATTGTATTCCATTTTCAGAAAAACAAAAACCATATTAATACATAAACACAGATATGTTTATGTATCTCCGTAGCCGAACGTCGACCATGCTGGTCTGCCACACGGAGGTCCCGGGTTCGATTCCCGGGAGAAATATTTGTATGGCCTGCATTTACTTTTTCGTGAGTTTGGTTCTAATTTGTGGTTGTCTATTTGTATTTTCCTGGCACACACGACACAGGGTTTCCCTAGTGCGGGCTATGAGTGCCTGCGTTATTGATTATTAATATTGACATATTTATTGGGTGTGTTGTGTTTTTTTTACGATGACGATACATTCAGGCAATTTCTAATGAATCCAGGACTTTGGCACAAGCAACAAAAAGAAATCATATTGAAAAATGTATATATATCTTCAACCTTATTACAAAACTGCAAACTAAAACACTCTGAAGATAGAGTAAAGTGCATCCAAATATATAACTGTGAGTACAATATCTGACTATTCTCCTGTACTCGGCATTAATAATACTGCCAATATTTAAACTTACTTGAGTATTCATTCCGACGTAAATAAGAGGATCGTAGCAAATAGAACTCTTAGCCACAAGAGCCGGGATTACACCCGCACCCGGAGAAATCTGCAAACAAAAGTCAAAGTGAACCGAAATTGTCATCAGATGATGAATTGGAAATTATCAGTAGAATAAATAGACAGAACATATTTTTTTTATAACATCAAGTGACACGCCTATCGACTACAGTTGCAGTGCCACTCAGAGCTGTATATCGCAAAGATCTGTAGGGCACTGCCACTGCGCCCGTCGTCAACCTGAGATATAAGTTGATGAGTGCCTCTAATTTCACTAGCCCCTTTCAAAATCGGAACGCAGCAGCAGCTCACATCACAGCTTGGCGGTAGAGCTAGGTAAGGTGGCAGTAGTTCCCTGGATGAACTCTTTCATAAGGAGCTTCACTGTACTAATATTCTTTCATAATTTCTTGCCAATGACTTTCTTTTAATTTTCTATTCGTACTCACAATTGATAATAAATTTATAATTTTTTATTCAAAACCGGAACGCACTAATGCTGACATTACTGCTTGGCGGCAAAAATAGGTAAGGTGGTACTTGCTTGCACGAACTTTTACAGACAGATAGCTTAATTAAAGCTATCTAGCGAAGTAAAGTTGTATACTATTTACTCGGTGGCTGTGTTAAGATGCCATCAAATAAATTTCGACCCTTCCTTTGTGTCTAGGCCAGTGTGTTACTGTTTTCCCCTACGAAAGGTATCTATTCGATTTAATACAATCTGTACATTTATAAAAACAGCTATGGCAGCGACCTACTTTTAACTCGCTTCAGTGATTTTATGTTCTGTAAAACTGTGTGTAAATTGATCATTGCGGTCAAAGATTTTTATATTATATATACGAATAGTTTCATATTATTTTTACTATAATGCAACTCAATTATAAGCACATGTTTCCCCAACATAACTTCGACCCTATTGATAAATTTAACGCCTAAATTCACCTGTTGACGGACCTTAAAGCTCCTATTTATCCTATTTTGTCTCAACTAAGGCTGTAATAAATTTTCATCTTCTGTCGTACAGACAATCAATCCAACAGGTAAACATCAGTAGCGCTGGGCCCGTAGACAGTTTATTTTGTTGGCTTGTTATTATTAGCTTTTGCTCAATTTAATTAAATGATATTTGCATTTAAGCTTTTAAAAATATTATAGTCAAGATGGAAATGGTATTATTTTTTTTAAACCACTTCAAAAAAGGTGGAGGTTCTTAATTCGATTGTATTGTGTGATGTGGCAAATTAGAGGATGAATGACTTTTGAGGTCGGTTTTTAGTACTATTATTAAGATTATTTCCTTGTGATTTTTTGAATTAAGTTAATATAAAAAATACGTTTATCTATACATACATCATAAACTCTCTATACTGTGCGACCACCATAAAGGTAAACTGTTTTGTTAGAACAATTTTCTTATCTGTGAACATGTTATTATTGCTTCATGAAAACATCGAATTCGATGTTATATTACATTCAAATTTCGAATATCTCTGAAAAACAAAACAATTTGATTGGACATCAATTCTAATATCAGTCGAGATGAAGTTTTATTCAAAATGTCAATAACAAACAATTTTGACAATTTCACACGTTATTTGATATCGAACGATATGACAGTTGGGGCCGATTCTAGTTTGTCTATGAATTAAAAATAAAAACTACGGTTGTGTGACATGTGTGAGAATAGTTATTTTTGATATAAGTGCGGA